CCGGCGAGCCTACTTGCCAATGCTTTGGTGCAATTGCGCGCCCGAGCCACTTCATCGAGATTTGACCCTCGTAATGCCTTCTCACGAACCAAGTCCATTGTCCTTCCCGGTTCTTCCGACTGGATCAAGGATGATCCGACTTATGCCCAGGATGATAGCCGGTGCCGGCTCAGTGGCTGGTTTGCGCAGGATGTGTGGAGGCAAGAACATGAGGCGTTCACCTGGGCTTCTGGTCTCCACGTGGCAAGCTGGATCATCTCTCTCGGACAAAAAAATATTCGACGGCTTTACCTTCTGCCTTCCAACGATGAGATGGAGGATCCTGGCGGCAGCTTTCGTGAGCTTTTTGGAAAGTTGGTTTGCCAGCTCATCAACGCAGAGCCGTGGCTCGACTGGCGGGCCGTAGACCTGCTTGCTTTGCCCCATTGCCTGCGCCGTGAAATATGGCTTGCTTCGTTGAGCCGACACTCAGCTTTGCAAAACCAGGGGCTAAGCACCACTGCCGGCACTCGCATTGGGCAATGGCTTCAATTTTTGTGGACGTTGGTGTGCTCAGCCGAGATGGAGCGGCCAGTCCATTGTCCCACAGGACTGGGCTGCCGGAGCTTGGACTTTCTCACCGGGTAGCGTAGGGCGTAGGGTGCCAACCCTCTGCTGCTCCGGATCGGCTGCTGAGCTTGACCGTAGGTAGCATTACCAGACTGAGGACGGCTTCAGTGGGCAATGCCAACTTGCCGCAGTCTAACCTCGTAACCCGGTCTGTGATTCTTTGTTTCATTGCACGTGTTTGTGATTTCGTGATTCAGATAGGGACTGAGTGCAGCTGTAGCTGCTGGCCACGAAGCCCGCCTAAGCCAATAATGTCACGGCAGTTCGGCCCCAATTGCTTCGCCAAACACATCCCGCAAGAACCATTGTGGAGAACGTGTGAATGCTTGGATCGGGTGCACCCCGACTTCTTCATGAGAGGGCTGAAGTTCAAGGCTGTCACAGTGTGGGTGCAGCTAAGAAAGACCGTCATCGACCATCTTACTGTTGTGCGCTCTTGCCGAGTAGAGAGGTGGTTCGATGGGTGGCGGAGGCGACGCTGAGCTTCACCAACGCTTCCCCTCCAAATTATCGTTCTTGTTCAACACAATTTTCGATCATTGAAATGCACTCCCGTTCTTGATCTGGTGCACCTGCAAAGTGTGTCTTGGATCGTGCTTTGCTGATGTCCCGACTGTCGGGCTCAGTGCACACTCCTTTGTCTTGAAGACCGGGCAATGATCTTCTTTGCAGTGGTGTCCAAAGCTACTCATTCCGCCGGAGCTTCGTCTGTGCTGCACAGCGTAAGATCACTGATGCGAAGCGGTGTTTCTCTTGTGTCAGCGCCGGCAGCCTTGGACCGGCTTAGGGCAGCGCAGTGTTTAGGGTTTATTGCTGTGATGGAAATGTCTGGATGTACTGCCAGAGAAAATAGACGACAAGAGATAAATGTTTCTGCAAGATACCTGTTTCACCCATGGCATCACGAGAAATAAATGGGTTCAATCCAGTGCCCTGCTACGAGAATCAGGTCAATTACGACCCACTCCCAAGCCCAGCCTGACAGATGAGAGAGGGGAAATGCCTTCTGTGCTGCATCTTCCAGTGGCTCTCAGCATTTTCCAATACCAGCAGAAATGGCGGTCCCGTCGTACTTTGCAAAAACACCCGCTGGGCTTGATCCGTCAACGTTCGTCAACGTGATTGCCTCGTATGACACCGGTGGCATACCCACCCGTCGAGTATCAGATTTCCAATGAGTTCCATCGATGGCCAAAGCTGGCTCAGCCAGCTTGTGTGCGCGACGGCCGCTTTGGGCGGGGTGGCCTGTGCTGCTGTTTTTGCAAGGCATTGTCGCAAGGCATGACGAGCTGAATTTGTTCACGGACGCTCTGTCCGACCTGCTGGCAGGCGAGCACAGAGGGTTTCCAGAGCTCGGGGACATCTGCAGGCGACGACCTCGGAGAGTTGCTGGGTAGGTAGAAGCTCTGGTTCACACTTTTTGCGAGTAGTCGCACAGCTTTCGGATTCCAGAATCGAACAGCCAGTGGGCTTATGCAGCTCCGGCTGAATTCGTATGTTGGCTCGATCTGAGACCTGGATGTCTCGAGCCTCCCCAAGTGAGAATCGGTCACAGAAACAGAGCGATTTTGATTTGATGCTGTCGAATGCCCCAACTTCTGCTCTGTTTATTCGAGCGTGCTGCCAAGCGTTTCATGGGATGGAGCTGTCTTGCCAGACCGGACCGCTGAGGCCCTGCTCAATGCTTCAGCAGGGACAGATGCCCGCATTGTCATAACTGGAGCAAGCAGTGGGATTGGCCAAGAAGTTGCGCAACAGCTGCTCAGCGGCCTGGCTGCAGAGCTGCATGTCCGTGCCTCCTAAGCATGCGTGGCAGTTCTCTGAAGTGCTCACCTCAGGACATCCTTCAGTGACCTTGCTTCTGGGCTGCCGAGACAGGAAGAAGACCGAGGCAGTTTTTCGAAAGCTGAAGGATCGCACCAAGGTGGGTCGGGCAGTATGAGTTGTGCAGTCACTTGTTGAGACATGTACACGTACTGGCTCGCTCAGACAGGTCCACCGCTTGGACTTGCTCGACCCGGACTCTGTGCAGGCTTTTGCCGATGAGGCTTTCTGAAAAGTTCTGTTGATTCGAAGCTGGCCCTTCATGATTAGCGGGCCTGTTTGGAGGCGCATTCGTTCCTGAGAGAGGGCCAGCCTGGACTTCGGATGCCGCTGGGCCGCAGGAGAATGTGTTCCCCTCCAAAGCCACCCCTCACGTTGAGGCTCGTAAACAATGCGGGCGTCATGCGGCCACCAGCGAGCGGGAAAGGCATCCGAGATTTCTGAGAATCCGATCAACGCGACCTCTGAGCCAACAGGTGATGCCACCTGGCAGACGAACTTCCTGGGGCCTTTCCTCTTGACAGAGTTGCTGGCTCGTCTGCGAAGCAAAGAGCAATCCGAGCCTGTCAGGCAGACAGAGCATTATGCAATCTCTCTCTCTCTCTCTCTTTTTCTTGAGTGTGTATCTCGTGCCGTGCAGGGTCGTGCAAGTGTCCAGCCGTCTGGAGAAGCGATCTCAGCTCAATGCAGAGCTGCTTGAGGGAATAGGTGGTGGAGAGGCGCATCCACCACATTTGTCATGCGGGGCAGCTTGTCAAAGATGGGGTGTGGAACTCACAGCACTGGCACACCTCCCAAAAGTTGTGACGTAGCGGAGGTGGGAGACCATGCCTATGCAGACTCAAAGCGGGCGCTGATGCTCTGGAGCGAGTTGACATTATGTTAGGGCTGTTAGGGTCCTTAAGGCTGCATAGTCTGGTTTGTCAATCTGCCAGGACATCAACGCGGGCGCAGAGTTTGGCCTTCAAGGGCGGCCTTTACTGCCATTGCTCCACTCCGGGCATGGTGGACACTGAGCTTGGCAGGCCCCCGCTGTATGTGTGCCTGTGTTTCTTCGTGTTTGTCATGAGAGAGGAGAGAAAAGACCAAGACCCGTTTCTATTTCTGAACCATGTTTTGCATTGCGACATCTGCTCTCGGAACTGGACCGTCGAACCCTCAAATATTGAGGTCCACTTTCTCGTGCCCAGCTTCAGGTACATGACATGAAAGTCTTGACGAGCATCCCTAGCGCATGTTCCAGCCAGGGTTAACAAACGCAAGAGCTGACGAACGTCCTTTCTTTGGCCTGTGGCTGGTTTCGGGTTGCGCCACAAGCAGCTGTAAGCCACCGGTGTGTGTACACAAAACCCCAGGTGGGAGGGCTTTCACCGAACCCCTCAGGAAAAGCCTGGCTTGGCTCAAGCAGCCTTTACACCTTGATCATGAGGAAACGAAGATGGCTTCGCGTTGCATATACAGGACATGCAAGGTACGGGCGCTGTCTTGCTCCCCTCGACCTTCAGGACACCCGCAGCCTGGCCTCCTTCAGCAAAGATAGCGCCACGAGACTACAATCCCCGCCTTCTTTCCAAGTTTGGCTTCAAGAGGCGGCGGGTCTGGAACCACATGCAGGTCATATTAATATTGCGAGCAGCGACGCCCACCCGATCCAGCATTCCCATCACATCCTCAAACTTGCTGCCATTTCATTGTCTGCCACCCGCCGCCCGACCGAAGCTGGTTCGACCGACGAGTTCGTTGCTTGCTGCATTGCCAATGCTGCCATCTCGCGAGTCGCAGCATGAAGCTCGCGTTGCTTAGCACAGGTCCCCGCGGTAGCAGAAGCCCGTTTGTCAGGTATTCCGTGAGTCCATGGCTGTGGCCGCTCACGAAGCCGCTCCGTGCCGACGACAGCAGGAGTGGAGTTGAGTCTTAGCGAGAGCAACGGCTGCAAGGTATGCTCCTCCTGCGATCTCCTGCAGAGGGTGCCCTCGCGGCTGTGGCTGGTGGACTTCTTCCGCAGGCTACCACACGTTTCGGGCGGTACATGGATGGCGAGGCCGCAACAAAAAGCCCCCGAAGCACGTGCGGTTCTACCATCTTCTTTTTGAAGGTGCAGTTGGAAGACTTGGTCCTGAGCCGTATGGGTGAGATCCTCAGGGCTGTTTAGAGCAGAAGTTGCTTGACAACATAACCTAGGGACATCGAGCCATGGGCACAGATGCATGAAGAGTTAGAAGCTGGAGAAACTTGCTCCCGCGCACGCTAGGCGAGAAGGCCCTGGCGACGGATCTCGTGAAATGGGCATCTAAAGCCACAGCTTTGGAGCAGCGCGCGGATGGCTACGACCGCTGAGCAAAAAGAGCGAGTGCGAAAGATGAGGGTGGATTTTCGATTCAGTGGTACATGGAAGGCAAGAGAAGTTGCAAGACACAAGCTTGCTCTGAAATACATATCGAGTGCCGCCGCGCTGATAGATCGGCGAACGTTTTCTCAAGATGGAAGCCGTTAGGAGGATACACGCAGAACCCGTCATCAGCTTCACCGAGAACCCTCCTTGCAGTCCCATGTAGGATTTTGGTTCAATGGCGCATCTGTATCAGGAGCTGAATCCGCAGCGCTCCGAGAGCCGAGTTTTCTTCGCATCGAAGTTGGCGCCGTTAGCCGAGGCCCGTCCTCTACGTGGACAAGAAGTCAGGATTCACGCCGGAAAAGTGGGCAGAGGCATTTTTATGGCGATACGATAAGACTACGCTGTCAGATGAGGAATATCCTGAGGATCAGTTCAGGTTCGGCTCGTCAAGAGGTATCTGAAACACAGCTGTCCATGTCAGATGTGAGGCGTGTAAAATCTTTCAAATATGACTGTGTCTTGCCGCCAAAAGCTGCAGGCCATCAGGGTTACCTGCACAGTCTATGTTGGCAACTTAGCATTCTTCACTCGAGAGGACCCTGTTTGCAGCAGCTCGCGATGTGCTGCCCGTCTTGTAGCCATGGATGGCGAAACTCTGGGTTTGCAGCACGTGCGATGATGTGCAGGAGCAGATTTACGAGCTATTCTCGAAATGTGGTGATGTGAAGCGAGTGGTCATGGGTCGGTGACTTACGGATGACTGTCGTCTTTTTTCGTGCATTGCCGCCTCGAGCTTCTGATGTACATGGATTCAGTGAACGCGAGCTGCCGTGCAGAATTGCATTCTGAGGCTTGAATAGGCACCAAAAAGTTCCATGTGGGTTTTGCTTCGTGGAGTACTTCAAGCATGCGGGGCACTTGGGAACTTTTATCACTTTGCTTCTTTGCTACCCGCTCCTCTGTAGTTTCAGCTTCATTCACCGGTAGGAGCAAGCCGAGCTGGCCGTGAACCTGCTGCTTCTTGGCTGGAGGGAGAGCAAAAACAGCAAAAAGAGAAAGAGTGGCAGCACTAGAATTTGAAAGGACTTCCCCCCGCCCCGTGAAACCCCAAACCCTAAACCCTAAATCCTAAACCCGAAACCCTAAACCCCTAGCTGCCCTAGCTTCTAATAAAGATTGTATTATTCGATATTCTTTTAGTATAGTATTTTTGTATAGTATAGTATATATAGTATCGTTGCGATATCCTGCAGTCCTGCTGGCTTGTAGGCGTTGCTCAACCTGACCAGTCCCCAGCTGAGAGCGATCAGGGTGCTTAAAAGCACGAGACGTCAACTCGGAGGGGGCCGCGCTGGAGCGCGCCAGTACCGAAAGCCGAAGGCGGAATGCGCGTTGAAGGGATACAGGGGACCAGGGCACTTGTGTGCAGGGTGCAGGGCTGGCTGTGTGGAAGAAGAGGAGAGACAGAGAAAGGCACGTACCCGAGCATTGCCTTTTTCCTCCCTCAGCACTCTCTCTTCTTGGGCTTTTCCAGTGATTCTGGAGAGCAACGCAGCTGCTGACGACTTCTGCTCCGACGCAGTTTCGAGATATGGTGTATCGTGAGAACGGAGCCTGTAGCAGCCGTAGCAGTTCTCAAGGAACAAGACTTCTTTCGATGATCGCATCATACGCGGGAGCCTTTATTGTTTACTTGGCCGGTGCTTCGTGACGTCGTGAGTCTGCTTGACGCAGCCATGGTCCATGGTGGTGTTAGTGTGTTGTGCATGTTGCCAAAGGTGTCGATCTGGACGCCGGCTACAGCAAGGGCCGGGAGTATGGAAGGGGCGAGCCTGCAACTTAGATCTCATGATCTCCTGCATTGCTGAGAGGGTACACCTGAGCTGCAAAAGCCGGCTGGTGTAAAGGTGATTTTGTTCACCGTGATTCTTGCGGCAGTTTTGTGAGGACTGGTGGACAATGGCGTGATGACTTTCGCGAGGATGTCGACCCTGCGCGAGGTGGCAAAGGCCAGAGAAAGATGTTGGCTCCAGCTCCACAAGCTCCTCTATCATGGTGTGAGTCGAAGACATGAAAACTCCACCAAGAAGACCAAATGAGCAGATGATTATGTCAGCATAGATCCCAAGCGGTGAAGGACCATAAGACCAGCAAAGCCACATGTGCTGCATCACTCGAACCCAAACAATCGGAGAGTAAACTGTGGCGGCAGTAAATAAATAGTTTTCGCGTCGTGAATCCATGATGTGCATACTTGCCGTGTGTGTGAGAGAGAGAGAGAGAGAGAGAGAGAGAGAGCGCGGCAGTGTGAGTGCGTGTGCGTGTGTACATCTGTCTGTATGTGATTGAGGGAGTGAGTGATGCATATATATAAATATACACATGTATGTATATGTACATATATATATATACAAAACTATATATATATATATGTATATATATATATATATATATGTATATATATAAATATATGAACATATGCATACACACACACGCATTCATACACTACATATGTATGTATGTATGTATGTATATATATATATATATATATATATATATATATATATTTACATATGTATGTATGTATGTATGTATGTATGTATGTATGTATGTTTGTATTTACATATGTATGTATGTATGTACTGTGCATGTATGCAGGTATGTATGTCTGTGTATGTATATGTATATGTATATGTATATGTATGTGTACACAGAATATTCTTATCCATATGTGCATGCGATTTGCCCCTTGCATTTCGTGGGGCAAACAGGCGGAGGGCTCCTGAAAAGGATTGAGGGCATGTGTGCGGCTCAGTGTTGTGAGTTTGTGCTCGACGATGCAGCGGAGAAGATAGAGTACTCATGATCCACTAGTACAACAACTATAAGACAAATACAGATAGTGGTACGACTCCGGCAACCTACGAGTTTTTGAAGTGTAGCACGAATCTGAGAACAGCACGAAGAGGGGTAGTTGTTTGCGAGTATCAGAGGGCGCACTACTGGAGGCCTGGACGGCAGGTTTACCGTGGAACCAAACGGAAGGCTGGAGATTTTCTTGATGTTTTCAGGGATTGGTTCATGCATTCCTTGGATTCCGAACGGAAAGCAAACCGCCTTGGTGAGGACCATGGGAGGTTCGGAGCAGCCGAGAATGAAGCGGCAAGCTCAGTGGGATTTCCTCCCTCGCCTCGCTCACTCCTTCGGGCCTGAGGCGGGCAAGAAGGCGAAAGGGGAGAAACCTGCGGGTGGCGAGCTCAGATCCAGTGTTCACTTCAGGTTCTCATTCTCCGTTGCTTGAGTGGGGAGAGACGTGAGGGTTCTCTTGTATGTCTGGCTCTCAGCGTTAGTTTCAAGCCTGGCCAAACCCTTCCGACTCTGTAAACAAGCAAGTGGAGCAAAGCGGAGCGAAGGAGCAAAGCAGAACAAGGCAAAACAAAGCAATTAAAACAAACACGGAAGCTGGCAAGCGAGCAGTCGAGAATGCAGGCAAGAAGCACCGCAGGATCAAGAAAGCTGACTGTAGTGCCTTCCGCTCTAGTGTGGCCCCAATGTTGCACTGCATGAGTGGGTTGGTGTGCGGACGCTTACTGCGTTGCATCTGGACGTCAGTGGCTGAATCGTCCATTGACACTGGCAGCTAGCAACATGACACCTTCTACACACGTCAACCCCTAGTCCTGCCGCTGAGGCGCAGTCATGACAAGCCATCGGGAAGGGCTCCAGCCGAGCAGAGGGTGCATGAGCACCAGCCCAGTGCAGGCAGCGGCGTGGGCACACCCACTCTGATTTCTTCCGGATCCCGCATCCACTTGGAAGTATTGTATATCTCCGGTGCAACTGTCTGCGACTCAGGACAGCAAGTCAGTATTTGCGTAATTCTCACAAAGAGTTGTGCATTGACATCTTGTAAGGTTGCTGCTGTCGATGCGTGCTCCAACTGGACTGGTGCAGATCTGAAGCGCATCCTGCAGCCATTTCTTCAGAAGGGCGTGGCGATCGCGGGAATCATCAACGAAGGCAGGTCTCAGCCTCACAGTGGCAGAGGGTGCAGTCACTTCGTTTGCCACCGGGAGGCACAGCGATCGAGGACACCCAAACATTGGAGGACGCAGGCGTCAAGTCTGGACAGCTCTACCTAATGCTGCGGAGCTGTACATACTTGATCGAAGGCGGGGAGCTCACCAGTCAGATCCTGTAAGCATGGCATGAGAAGAATCACTGCGTGCACATCACATCTATGTTCACTTCCAGATGCCGGAGTGGAAGTGGTGAATGGCTACTACGTCCAGAAAGAAGGCCGGATGCTTGTTGCCGGCGCAGGTTGGAGAGACAGAGAGGATGGCTGAAGGTGAGCTGAATAAAGCGCCAGTCTACGCGAATGAAGCTGGCATTCTGCTCTTCAAGTACAAGATGGTGGCCCCACGGAAAAGAGACTAAGAGAGTTCAGGGATAGGAGCGCCTTTCCATCTGAGGCCCGGGGCTCCGAATACTGGTACTTAAGCCGCGACGGTGACCTGAGCCGCTCCGACGGAGACTACTACCGGGTCCGCTCCAACAACTCCAGGCCGCCGGAAGAGGGCTGGAGCTGGGAGGCTTGCCCTTTGGGTCGCCGGACCACGGCCCCTCGGATCCGCGCTGGAGCCTCTTTTTCTTGTGCTGGGAACGGGGTTTCGGGGCGGATTGCTGTTTCTGAGCTCTTCTCTGATGCACAAGCGCGCGCTCAGATCCCAACATTGACGTACTTTGGGAGCGACAAGGCCTCGGCCCCTGCAAAGAGCATGCCAGAGCTTCGGTTCCGCTCGAACGTAGAATCTTTGCAGGATCTGGGAGAATTGTGCTCTTCGTCCACCGCCTCTGGTGAAGCCCAGAGCGCTTCTGACACGTCTGACTGATGAAGTGAGTGGCAAAGGTTTAAAGAATTCGGCAAGGCAACCCATTGTAGTTGTCACCTCTTTATTATTGGGAGCCTCCAACCGCAAAAGACCGGTTGGAGTAGAAGGTGGGCAGGCTTTCCCAGGCCGTTGGCTTGCAGTGGCGAAGGCCTTTGTCCTTTGAAGACTGTGTCTCGCCTTTCCTGTCCTGCCAGCGTTACCCCAAAAGGCAAGAAGCCCACGCTGGGGGAACAAAAAAGAGAGCTGCTCGCGACGCCGTGACTTGTCGTCGGTTTTCGAAGCCTCGAGTCTCCTAGCTTCTCGAGGCAGCTGGGCCCATCACGGAGCCTTCGCTGCATTTTATTTCTGCACTTGATTCTCCAGCTGGCTTCGTTGCTTGGGGGGTGCATGCTAAGTTGCTAAATTTGCTGGCCTGGGCTGTTGGCTACTGAGCTTCCGCGCAGGACAACAGTTCTCCGAGCTTCCAATGCAGTTCGGGTTCCTGACTTGGACCGGTGCTTCGCTGTCAGAACCTCTTCCTGCGTGAGATTTGAACAACTGAGGCCTGCGCGCTTCGGAGGCCACGGTGGCTGGACTACTCGGGGAAGAGTTTGCTCTCACTGCTCTTTCGGCCAGGCAAAGGCAGAGGAAAGGGGAAGCCGTGAGTGAAGGGGCCCATCCCTTCTACCTCCCCTTCCAGCCGCAACTCCCCACCACGATCTGCTTGATCCATGCCAAGTCTATTGGCCAATGTCGGACTGGTAGATGCTTGTACAAAGCTTGTTGTCGACGGAAGGCGAGATGCGTCGTCAATCTTTGTGCGTCCGATGTGTTACGTGCAAGCCTGGCTGCAGCATGCTATGCATCTTTGCAGCCGTCCACTGCTTGGGCTTTAGCTTAGTTCATGGTTGTTTGTTTCAGTTGCTCCTGCACCACTGGTATCGTCTCAGACCGAGCACGCGTACATCCCCAGCAGCTTGAAGAGAGCTCAGCTCCTCCAGCACTCCGGGGCCATGCGGGGCCGTCTGCGACATCGATTCTTAGCCGTCGCCCTCGGGATCGCTCCCAGGATGCAATCGACTACTCATGCTTGGCAAGAGAGAGAGGGCCTGGGCCTGTCGGACTCTCGGAGCTGAGGCCTTGCACAGCTGCCCTGTTGGCTTCCTCAGCCACAAAGGAGCGCTCCTTTGCCTGTTGTCAGTGCTTGTTGGCCTTCTGTTCTCGAAGGCGAGACGCCCTTCAGGCAGCGCGGTCAAAACAGCCCCGTGGTACTCCGTGCTTCTTTCGACCAACAAAGGGTGACTTGGCATGGTTGAGCTTTTGCACAGTGCCACGGATCTTTTCATTTTCCACCATTCCCAGCCAAGGCTGCCAAGCGAGAGCTCTTGGATGCTGTAAAGGATTTCAAGCGCGAGCTGAGCAAAACCGGTGGTGACTTGAGTATTGACTTCGGGGTGAAGGGCGGCGAGCTCGACAAGAAGGATCGAGCGCCAAAGAACTTGGCTGCCGCAGGGGTCTTCCGTGCCGTCTCGGAAGATCTTGGAAATGCTGCAGATCGCGTTCTCGAACTTGCCGACTTGCTTGCCCGGTATACGCCCAACAAAGAGCCACTGAAACACTTTGGAACGTCACTGGGATCGGATTGTCCGTTGCATGGAGCTTGGAGCTTGCTGTTTACGACCGCCGCCGATGCAACCTTCACGAAGAACAGCACTCGGGGTGCGGCCAAAGTCTGCAACGTCGTCGATGCGAAGGCCGGCACTGTAACGAACTGCATCGACTTCGAGGAATCCTCAGCTCTCGAGAGCCTTCGGGTCCGCCTGACGGCACGGCCGAGTCCGGCGAGCCCCACGACACGCTTGGACCTGGCCTTCAGATCCTTTTGCAGCAGATTTCTACCGTTAAGGTGTAGGGTTGAGGGTTTAGAGCTCCTCGAAATCCAGCTTGCATTTCACTCCATCTCCCGACAATTCCTCTCGACTCGGAAAGCTAAGAATTTATACGTGCGCGAGTGAAAAGCTTCTTCGGCATCCCGCTGGGCGGCCGGCGATTCACGCTGACGCTGCCGGTGCCCGGACCGTTTCTGACACGAGTCTTATCGTTCTTTACGAGGTCCCGGGGGGAATTCTCTGAGTCCAGGTCTTTTTGGGCTTCGGGTCTTCGGGTTTTGCGAGTTCTCTCCAGGAAGCCGCCGCCGCAACCCTACTTCGATCTCCTGTACTTGGATGACACCCTGCGTGTACATAGAACAGGCCAGGGTAACCTTTTCATACAAGAGATCACCAAGCCGCCGCCCTTCGTTTAAGTCAGGTGGCGCAAAACGGCAGATTGCATGCATGGCTTTGGAGTCTGAGCCAATGAGTTGTCTAGATATTACGGCAGTGCACATCAGATTGCCGCAGCCATTCGTGAGAAGACACAGGGAAAAGGGTAATTATGAAGGTACGTTTGACCCGTGAAACACCCTTTGCTTCATATGTCAACTCCTTACCTGAACGAGTTTGGTAGGGCTTTCTCTTCGCCAGACATGGATCCAGCTGTGGTCCTTCTTGAGCCATGGCGGAAGCTGAGGCCCCCTCGATGATTGTTGGTAGACTCAGAGGATCTCGGGACGACGAGGCGACGCGCCTAGGGCGGGTGCCCTTTGCATGGCCGGGACCTCGGTGACTTCAGTGCCGTGACGTGGACGTCATGCTGCGTGGTAGTACATGACGTGGTCAAAGCCTCTTCGCTAATGGCTTTCCCGAGTCAATCTCGGTGTCTTGAGTGCGAGATCGGTCCCATGTGTCGAAAGGGGATACCGAGATAGGGCATCGCTTGTGTGCCAGAAATACCTGACATACCTACTACTACCACAGCTAGACGATTTTCAGAACACATGAGCAACAAGCCCATCCACCTGCAGCAGTCAGCACTTGTCCTGCATTGCGTAGTATGTCAGCGCCACCTGCCGCCATGATATCGCAGTGGTACCTGTGCTGAAGCCGTCGGCTTCGTTGTGGCAGGGATGGGGAAGGCCGAAGTTCAACATATGCTGGCTGGGGTGAAGCAGTGAAGCAGCCAGATGCCTGACCAGGCAAAGCCAAAGACGGCTGCCAAGAGCACCAACGGAGACCGAAAGGCCGTTGGCAGGAAGATCACTTGGAAGACTGCCCTGTCGTTCTTCATGACTGGAGCTGCTTATGTCATGCGATCAGGCATCTGCCGGGTGGTCTCCATACTGGACACTGCCGATTGCTGGACTCGTGCCTTGTTTGCTGCGGCCGACGGCATGTCGAAACAATCCTGCGTTCGTGCTGCCTTCCTTGATGTGCATTGCGTAAGCATCCGGGCATGGTCCAGGTGCTGCTGGTGGCAGGCCTGGTTGCCGCAAGCAGCTCCACCAGCAGAGGAGGCACAGCATATTGGCACAAACATCAACCCGTCGTGGAACGAAGCATCAGAGGTGTCGATGAAGCGTCGAAGAAGGATTCCGTTGCTGCAGAGGCCCGCCGAGTGCCCTCTCTCAATGAGTGCTTTGTCTGATGTGTCGAGGACCCCAGTCGCAAGGGCAGTGGCAACCGCGATGAAAAGCCAGCCCCTGTGAATGCACCTTAATCCTTCAACAGCAGTGGTGAGGGGTTCGACCTTCTCATTCGCGCACCCTGGCACGAGAGGTCAAACCCACAGCGAAGACGAAGACGCCGACAAAAAGCAGCCCAAGTAAGGCAGACGCGACGGTTGAGGATGGGACTTGGTTGCGGGGCAGTTTGTATGGCACTTGAGGAAAGACTCTGGTCGTTTCTGTGCAGGACGGTCCTTACAAGTGGAATCCGAAGACACTCTCTGTGGTCTTGCCCTGTGCTGGAGAAGGGCTTTTCGCCAAGAAGACTCTCAGCCCTACAAGCTGCAGAAGCTGCAGTCTCGCCTTGAGCTTCGCAAATTGTAGTGCAGCAGGCCCCTGCTTGACACAGGACTGTCATCTCCGTTGCTGATTCGGTTCCCGGCGGAATCGGCGGCGGAATTCTCGAAGACATCGTCGTGCCTTGAAGCATTTGAACAAACTGCATTGTGAGCTCGCAAGCTTAGCTTCACGAGGTTGTAGACGATGGGAGCCAGCCACCGCTGGAGAAGGACTTTCGTGCAGTTGGAGTCTTTCCCCTTCACATGTCACCTGGCAGGACTTCATCACGAAGGAGTTTCGCAAAGAGCCACTCGACGTCTCACAGGGCTTGGCTTGCATTGGACATCAAGGAAAAGCAGCTGTCGCGCTGATGGGTGGCTACTGTAGGTACCCCGTGAAGCTTGTTCGGCACAAGACTGCCGTCGGGCTCATGGGTGCGAAGTCTGCAGGCCTCCGGACAGGAGCCAATAAACAGGAGCTTTGACCTTGCAAAGCCCTGGAAAAGGCGCAGCCAAAGCTGCTGGCGATGTCATCGTTTTCTTCGACTGCCACGTTGCGCCGCAGGCGGGCCACCTGTTCTCTGGAGATTTCTCTTTTGAACGGAAGAGTGTAAACATAAATAAATATATGTATATATATATGTATATATATATATATATAATATGTATGTATGTATGTATGTATGTATGTATGTATGTATGTATATATATATATATATATATATATAATATGTATGTATGTATGTATGTATGTATGTATGTATGTATATATATATATATATGTATATATATACATGTACATGTATATGTATATGTATATGTCTATGTCTATGTATATGTATGTGTACGTGTATGTGTATGTGTACATGTTCATGTATATGTATGTGTATGTGTATGTGTATGTGTATGTGTATGTGTATGTATGTATAAATATATATATATATACAATATGATGATATATTGTGTTATATTATATTAAATTTATAGTATATTTATACTTATGTCATACTACATGAAACTATCACTATACTATATTCATACTATGTTTATATGTCTATGATATTCAAACTATATTTCCATTATATCTGTTATATATGTATATTTTGTTTGCTATACATATATGTATATATATCTATTATGTATACCACATGTATATTTATTTGTATGTTTGTATATATATATATATATATATATAGAAACTACATTAATATTGTATTCATATTAGTTGTATATTATATGTATATGATATGTATATTATAACATAATGTATTGTAGTATATTACATTATGTTTTATCATATTATTGATGGCTTGATGCTCCAGCAGGAAGATTGGTATCGAAAGTTCTTGGACAGCATCGCGATGAACTACCGCCGCATTGTCGTTCCTGTGCTGGTCCCAGCATCCATTGAGCTCTGGGCCGTAGATTGCCTTTGCAAGCTCTCAAGGTCATCACCAACCTTGACATCGACACGTGGAAGGAGGTGAATCGTAA